TCATGTTTTATTGTCATGTTGTCCGTTTTTATTGTCATGTTCTGTGGGAATGCGCGCGGCCTCTGAGGGATATTGCAGAAGCACCACAGTTGCTCTTGAGTTCTAGCCCTCGTCATCATCTTCGGTTCTTATTTTGCAGCACCTAAATGATCCGCATAAAGAAATTGCGTTGTACTTGTATTCCAAAGCGCAATTACAGGACTTGGCAAAAAGCCAAGAGAGCTGCACGCGACCGCGCCGCGCGGACGGTGTTAGTAAAAACGAAACGGGCGGCGTAGCAAGGAATTACGACTTTCCCACGGCCCCGTACTCTGACCCCGTGCAGTTTTGGGCGGGGGGACCACGACACATCGACAGCTGGGGGGCTGATAGTCTCATACACCCTCAATGTGTTTGAGCGTACCATGTGTCTTTAAGGAGTGTTGGAACAAGCGGTTTGGAAAAGGTTCACCTGCCAATTCCCGCTGGAGATCTGTCCGAACTGAGGCACATGGCGCCGCTTACAAAGTGACATGGCCACTTGGCCACAGGCATACCAGGTTCAAAAGCTTGTTTCCAGAAAAGTCCGTCAAGATCCTTGTAGCTAAGATTCGCAAGTGTGACAATTCAGCAGAAAGGCGGAACTAAGCAAAGAACTAGGGCGCCAGCTAGGCAAAATAAGTGAGTTTTTCGAAGTGCAGGGTCACTTGGGGTACAAAATGCTTCGAAACATCAGTAGTAGAGTTTCGGTACGAGTCCTAGGAGGGAAGGACTTGATATGAGGACTCTATAATGGGAATTATTCAGAACGTTTCAGGCAGTTGAAAGACGTATCTCTCCACATAAAGCACGTAGTCAACTCAATTTGCTGAAATTCCTTACCTCAAACGTTATGGCAGAAACGGTGCAAGTGCTATTTTAGAGGTGATGTGCGCGCAGCATCATCATCCGGATCTAAATGATTCATTGGGACAGAGCTGCGATGTGTGAAGCTAATTAGGCAGCTAAACGATACTCTGTTTGATGTAGTGTTTGCTACCCTACAGTGTCTGTTTAGCATCAGTGCTTGGATGCGGGTGATATTTTAGTCGAAGTTTGGCAGCCTGGTGGTCGGGTACCGCTGAACGACGATCACCCGAAACTGTGGGAGGGGGGAGGAGCAACCGAAAGTAAGCTGACAACTCAGAGCTGCATCCTATACAGCCACTCTCAAGCTTCTGTGCCATCTCGGTTGTCGTGAAACCCTGCGCCTACGAAAGACGTGGATAAGTTACTTGCCCTTCTGAAAGGACTCCGCAGCAGAAATAGAACTTGTAATGAAAGCCTGGTCCTTATCTTGCGTCCTACCTGCCCGCGTTATCCCAACAGCACTTGAGTCTATGCCAAGAATCCGCATGCCATCGATGCACGAACTCAGCGGTTGAGAACAACCGGAAGAGGCTGGTTTCGCGGCAGCATGGAGACAACACACGGATATCAATGGCTCAGCAGGTAATCGTGCACTTCTGACTAGAGAAAACGGCACGTAACGACCCATGCCTTTACACAAGGCATAGACCACGACAGACTCAGGTTACGGCGGCTCAAAGTGTTGCAGGACTTGTTTTCTAGCCCAATAGAGTAGTGTGAGCAAGGGTTAGGCCCTCTCTCCCTAGGGGGCTTCGGTGGTGCTCTCATGAGAGAATAGACGACCGGGGCTAGAAACGTTGGAATGACCATTCTCCATACAGTATTTGCGAAGGTTGTTATGTTCCCTTCCCCCGGAGGCCTCGATAACCCCAATTCAGAAGATTCGTGGCGTATTTGCTGCAACATTTCTGTGTCGCGTGACGATGCAGCCGCTGATGGCGATCAATCGTATCTTATAAAAGGAAGGACTAATACTTCGGGTGAAGACATGGAGGCTTTGAAGCCAAAAGCTCTCACAATGTGATCAGGTCCGGAGTCTAGAATGGTAGCAAGGGTGCTTCAGTAGGAAAAAGCGGAGTAAAACGGTCAGAAACTTGCAAAATAGTTTTTTCGAAACGACCCAGAAAGCAATCTCGGACAAGAAGATGCATCGTGCTAATAACCGCTACGGTAGATACTGCTGCATGCATGTACTCATATTAGGTTGTCCGGAAAGTTCTGAGCGTTTTGTGCACCTAAATTTTGTACATTCACTGCTGATTAAAAACTCATTCTGCCTTGCTTC